ATCACTTAGGTACCGGGAAGCTACCTGGGAAGCCATTCACATCAGCCCACACCTAGAGAATAACGTTGCTGAAGCACACGTCAACAGACAGCTCTTCTTTTAAATCATTAAAGCGAATTGTCATTTGCTCAGTAGAAGTAACATATTCCCCAGGTTGTGTGAAGACTGGAGGAGTTATGTCCTCCTCGTCCTGAATCCTGCCCGGCCACTGCCCGGGCTGTTCCCAAGGGCTGCAGGAATTAGGAGAGGCCTGAGAGGCCCAGGGTTTTGATTTTCAGTGATATTTGAAGGGTTTATTAACTATAAGACTTTTAAAATGCTATAAAACATTTAGTTTTAAAAGATTGACTTCAATACACAGGCACAATCACGTAATTCCAGAAATGAGGTGATTAAAGACCTTAAGCTTTTGTGTCCCAGGAGAATATAGGGGATTTGCTGAGGGTCCTGGGTTCTACAGAACAGAGTGGTGTTCTCAGGTTAGACCCGAGGAAGAGTGTTTTCCCACAAAGACAGACACTCTTCCCCTCTATTTAAAATTATTTATAAAACATTTTTATTGACTTCAGAGAGGAAGGGAGAGAGAGTCATTGATGGGCTGCCTCCTGCACACCCCACATTGGGGATCAAGCCCAAAACACGGGCATGTGCCCTGCCCGGGAATCGAACCATGACCTCCTGGTTCATAGGTGGACGCTCAACCACTGAGTCACACTGGCCAGGCAAGGCCCTTCCCCTCTACAGTGAGCAGTGCCTGGCCCTGTGGAGACTGAGCACCCAGCAGCCGGTTAGACTCATTATGGGCTCAATCCTGCTGTGGTTGGTAAGGGTCTGAAATAAGAATTCAACAAAACGGCAGCACAGAGAACTCCATAAAAATTACATCTGGACACAGAAGGAAATCCATCCTGGACAGAAATTCTTTCTTCTGGGACTGCTGACCTTTGTCCCAACCCCAGGATCCCAGAGAACAGTGAACGTTGCACATTTCCCCTCTGTGGTTCAATAAAGAGCGGCCTGCAGAGACCACCTTCCTGACTCACTCAGGTAAGATTCCTGGATGCTGTCTACCTGCCCGTCTACCCCCTGCAAGGCCAGCTGCGGACCCTCCAAACTCCCACTCTTTGTCCCATCAATGATTAGCTGAACTCCTTTGTTTCCACTGATCTAAGGAAGGAACCGCTCGTTAGCCAAAGTCCGGCTAAGATTCTCTCCTCCCCAGGCCCCTGAACCTTGGCCCTCACTCACTTAAGCGTTAGGATGAGGAACAACCCTCCCCCCGCCTCCCCGCTTCTCCACCGAAGGCTGACCTTGACCCTGCATCTGGGCTCCTCCAATGCCCACAGGTTCTTTCCAACCTTTTGACTCCTCCTGAGAAGGAGAGCCTGCCCTGCCGAGCTGGAGGCACTCGGGCTCAGGGTCAGGGGAGCCCTATTGCCACCAGTCCCTCTTCTTCTTGAGATGACCTCCTCAAACTCAGCCCTGGTGTGGTGTTGGACACCACATGGTGGAAAATTACACTAAAGCCTTAAATACAATAAACAACAAGCAATAAGGCAGGCTCTCTCTGCAATATGCCAACCAGTGCACCGGGGACCCTCTGCAGAATACACCAGGAAGCAGGAAAATGAAAGCAAAGAAGGCATTTTCAAACGTACAGGTGAGCCCTGGGAGTCTAATCTGCAAGAACAGGCACGGAGAATGTCAGTCCTTGGTGGTCCTCCAAACAAAATGTAACGAGGACACGTGAGCATCTCATTGGCTTCATCCCGTCCAGCAACTGGAAGGGCACTGGAGGGGCTGCACAAATGGGAGGGACTCATGGGAAGTCAGTGGGCAAGGGGTTTTAGTGAAAGAAAAAAGGAGGACCATTTGGGGCAGGTACCTGTTTTCTTTGGGGGAAGAGATGGGGCAGGGGTCTTACCACACAGATTGCCTCTTCCTTCTGGGGGAGACGCGGAGAGTGAAGTCCATGGTCCCAAACCTGACCTGATACCTGACCTACTGCAGTTGTTGCTGAGGGAATACCTGGCTGGCTTTTGTGTGTGGTCAGTAGTGAGGTGGTGGTTGAAGCTCCACGCACGTGTATGCTCTGGTCCATAAAGGTGCGCGGAGGGGCAGCGCAGTGGCGAGGGGCGGTGAGACCGGCTGTGGGAATATTTATGGACCTGCATGTGCCTGTCTACACCTCACAAACTGGGAGCTGCAAGGCCTCTGTGCAGGTGACGAGAGGCAGTCCGGGCTCTTAGGAGGCTCTGCTCAGCCCTTGTCGGAGATGATGACCTGCTTGGCCCAGTTCCAGCCTCTGAAACCGACAGCAAGAGTTGGCTCTGTCCTCCCGTCTCCTGCCTCTCTGAGCCAATCAAAACACCCACAGAGCCCCAGTTAAGAATTAACTTCTATTTATTTTGTTATACATTAAACACAGGTTGTGAGCTAGAAAGAAAAGATGTATTTTAAGGCTCGGTAATTCTTTTAATCAACCACCTAGAGCAGTGGTTCTCAACCTTCCTAATGCCTCGACCCTTTAATACAGTTCCTCATGTTGTGGTGACCCCCAACCATAAAATTATTTTTGTTGCTACTTCATAACTGTAATTTTGCTACTGTTATGAATCGTAATGTAAATATCTGATATGCAGGATTTTCATTGTGACAAATTGAACATAATTAAAGCATAGTGATTAATCACAAAAACAATATGTAATTATATATGTGTTTTCCAATGGTCTTAGGCGACCCCTGTGAAAGGGTCGTTCGACCCCCAAAGGGGTCGCGACCCACAGGTTGAGAACCGCTGTTCTAGAGGCTCATGGTGTTACTGGTTGTGGGAAACACCTGCGTAGGCCACTGAAGGACCAGACCATGTAAAACTGGAAGGTTCAACAATTCTGAAGTGACTCTTTCTTGCTTCCCCGAAGCCAGAATGCTAAGGAGGCAGAGTTTTCTGAAGGGACTGACGTCTCGGGGACTGTGATGCTGAGGGGCTGGTCTTCACCTCTGGGCCCTGAGCTTCGGGTGGAGGGAGAAGCCCTGAGAGAAGCTTCTGGGGCCGAAGGAAGGGTCGCCTCCCGGCGTCGCAGACATGATTAAGGGTTCAGTTCCTGCGGACATTTGCTGGTCCAGTCGGAAGGAGGAAGTGCTGATGGCCAATGCACTCCAGTGCAGACCTTCTCAAAGCAAGGAGAGCCGGATACAGACGGGGTGAGACGCAAATTCAGACTTGAGCAAACAGAAGACATACCTTAGCTTTGCTTCGGACACTGAGCAGCATGAGGATGCACATTGTCTTTTGTTAATATATGGATTTAACACGATCTCACTAAAAATAGTCTCCCCCCCAGCCCCTTGGTGATAGTCAGGCTGATGCTAAAGTTCACATGTCAAGTAAGCAGGGAGCAGTCAGGGAAGCCTGCAGGGAAAGGAGCTAGAAGGAGTTAGTCCTGCCTCATGGAAAACACCATCACATCCTGTAACGCCCTCAGCGTGGTCAGGAAAATGAGCAGACGGACAGGTCTTTCCTGTGTCTCCAATACTTTCAACTTTCTTGCGTCAGACTGGATGTATGTTCTGACCCACCTTCAATCCAATGGCTCTCTTCTTGTTTAAATTACTGTTAGATTCATGTATTGTTTTCTCGGTTTATTTTATTTTTCAATTCCAAATTTTCCATTTTGTGCTCTCCTATAGTGTCAACTTTCTGCTGAAATTCTCTACCTCATCTTTTAATTTCTTAAATGTATACATCATATAGTTTATGATAATTCTATTGTGAATGAATGAATTCACTGTATCATTTTTTTAAGTTTAAAAGTTTAAATCTTGTAAGCTTTATAAGCATGCAAAACAGTAACGCATACTGCTTCAAAAAATATACAAATATACACTAAAAACATATAGAATTAGATAGAACTAATAAATAGCAAATTCAGGATGATATTACCTTTGGGTTAAAAGGAGAGAAAAATTGAGGAGCGCTTGAAAAGGAGGACATACTAGGTTCTCTTTGTTTGCTGGGATGAAAATGTGGGTCTTCTCCTTTTTCCTTGTCCTAAGAATTGCATTATAAAGTTACCATGTGTGTATGTAATGAAAGTCATGAAGAACACACAGCAGGGTAAGTGGAGTGGGAGGTACTACTCTTAAGAGGATCGTCTTGGCTACTGTGTTGAAGAAAGGAATCCAAACTGGAGGTGTGACAGTCGTCTAGGGCTGGGCTGATGGTGCCCTGATTTTGGGCAGTGGTGACAGAGGCAGTGGTGCCTGGTAAGTATTTGAAGCTGATAGAAATCACTGGTGAGTGTGATGTGGGTGTGAAATGGGTCCTACGTGACGATGTGGCCTAAGGAACTGGGTGAACAGAACTCACTTTTGCTGAAGAGGACGAGGGAGGCATTGGAGGAGGGAAACGCCTGAGCTGAGTGTTGGACAAGTTGGGCTGGAGATGCTATCAGGTGCCCAAGCAGCTGTCAAGGGCGGAGCTGGAGCTGAGAGTCTGGAGTCCTAGGGAGAGTTAGAGGGACTGAGATGGTGCAAAGGGGGCTCATTCCCCAGGAGGGGGCGTAGGAAGCAGCTGATGTCCGATGCTCTGTCATCATTGGTGTCTCTATCTCTCCCTCTCCCTTCCTCTCTCTGAAATCAATGAAAACATATTAAAAAATGTAAATGGACTACATTTACCAATCAGAAGACATAAGATGACTGAATGGAATTTTATAAAGAACCAACTGCATCTGAAATATATATTTTAAACAAAGGTAAATGTGTGAGATGATGGATGTGTTGACTCAGTGGGAGTCCTTTCACAATGTAGGTGTGTGTCAAATTATCATGTCGTCCCCTTTACATAGTTTACAATTTTATCTGTCAGTTAAATGCTAATAAAGCTGAAAGAAAAGCCAGGCAGCCCAATCGTGGAGGGGGGTGCTAAACTACAGACCAACCACAGGACCAATGCTTACTTTACAAACAGAAAATAAGAAAAAAAATCAAGACATTAGTTTAGCATTTGAAAATCATTTACTTAGGGACAACTAAACCATGTCAACATAAGTTGCTTTTAGTACTGCTGGAAATGAACAAACATAACCTTATAAAGATAAAAATTAATAGATATATTATTAATGCATAGTGGCTGAACTTTGTAATAGTGTTTCTACTATAAATTTCTATATACAATTTTTACAGCTATAAAGATAAATTTTAAGGATTCACATTCTAGTTAATACCTACAACTCTAAGTATTACTACCACTTGCCTGTGTAAGGTGATTTCTTTTTTCTAGTTACTTTGCAAAAATATGTGTATTCATGCCTGAAAAGAAACAGTTACCATATACATTGCCAAATCAAACATTTAGTGATGTTCGAAAATAAAGACAAAAGGACTGCGACCATATAAATTGAGGATCTTAACTATTAAATAGTATATGTGATAAAATTAGTACAAAGCATTTAAAGATATATGTTAATCATTTATTTATAGGTGGAAAAATACATTATTTTACATAAAGGATAAATGTTTATCCTTTCCAATTTGGGTTTCTTTTGTTTCTTATTCGTGCCAAATTTTTAAACTTATGCTCAACATTGCTTAACTGTATCCAGTGAGGAAACAATTATTTTTGTAATTCTCCAAGAAGAAAATAGTATAAAGTTTAATTCATGGTAACATAGTTGGCTGGAAAAATGCCAGTCTGACCTCGAAGCCTTCCTTCCCACCAATCAAAATTCGAATCCGTTTTTGATGTCACTGTGATTCTGTCTCCAGCTTTAAAACTCAAATCCCCTGGCTGTTGTCCTTCAAAAGAATAAAGTGCTGTCACTTCTGTGGGTCGACTGGAATTGCCTAAAACAAGAAAAAATATTTAAATGACTCACATTTTTATAGGAAAAACTGGGAGTGTATGTAGGTGAGATAGAAATGAATGACTTAGGGTATTCTGAGGCCTTGAAGGCCTGTGGAACCCACAGAGATGGTCTGGGTGATTGTCATCATTATTATACTTACTAGAGGCCCAGTGCACGGACCCTTCGGGGGATGTCAGACTGCCGGTTTTGGCCCGATCCTCGCAGACCAGGCTGAGGGACCCCATCGGTGCACAAATCCGTGCACCAGGACTCTAGTATGAATATAAGATCTTTGGTTAATCTCTTCCTGCCCTCCCTCCTTCCGAGATTCATCAGTCTGTTCCATGTTTCCATGCCTGTGCTTTGAGCGTCTGCCCCCAGTGGTCAGTGCACACCATAGCTACTAGTTGAACAGTCTAACAGTCGCTTAGGCTTTTATATATATAGATAGACTAGAGGCCTAGTGCATGGGATTTGTGCACTGGTGGGGGGTGTGGCCTGCAGGGATCGGCCTGCTGTGGGAGCACTACTCATCCCAGTCAGCTGAGCGGTGCTCCCACACTGACCACCAGGGGGCAGCTCCTGCATTGAGCATATGCCCTCTGGTGGTCAGTGAGCATCATAACGACTGGTCGACCGGTCATTCTGGTCGTTCCACCGTTCAGTTGCTGGGTTTATATTATATAGGATGATTTTCCTTTTTGCAAAGAGCAAATGTTTGGTAATAACACTAAGTCCACACAAGTCAAACTGCACATTATTCTATACTTAGCAAAACATTTAGCAAATATTTGTGGTTATAATTGTTTGAAATTTGAATAGCCTATATGATAATATTGTTCATGTTTTTCTTATTTTAATAGGGTAGCTATGATGGCTCCATGAGTTACAGCTGTTAGAGAAAAGCTGGTACTTAGGCTAAAAGTTGTATCATGAAAGATTCCATTATCCCAGGCTGTGGAGACCCTGGATGCAAGGGTTCTGGCTCAGGGGTGTATATGTGGCAGTTTTATCAGCAACTTTTCCCTATGGGCTTCATGGATGTTTTCATTTCTGCACCTCATTGGTCCTTTCTCTCAAAACAGAGGTGATATTTAAATGGTCACATCGAGAAGCATATCTGCGTATGTTTAACAAAAACTTCAACACAATGTGTAGAATTTAATGTATTATATCAGGAAAAATACTTTGAGAATTGAGTGGCTAACATGAGCAAAGGCTGCCTGGCCAGCATGGCTCAGTAGTTGAGCAAAGACCTGTGAACCAGGAGACCAGGGTTCGATTCCCGGTCAGGGCACATGCCTGGGTTGTGGGCTCGATCTCCAGTGGGGGGCGTGCAGGAGGCAGCCAATCAATGATTCTCTCATCATTGATGTTTCTATCTCTCTTTCGCTCTCCCTTCCTCTCTGAAATCAATAAAAATATATTTTAAAAAATTGAGCAAAAAGCATTAAATATTAGAAACTGTATAGCATCATTTAAATATAAACAGATGCCTTCTGTGTGCTCAGCAACTTGGAATTCAGTATTTCTGTTTCATATAACTGCAGGAATTATGCCATTAGATGCTTGCTGATTGCATCTAAGTGCAGATATACTGAAAACATAAGTGAATTCTAAAATCAGTTACTTATTAGATCCTATGATATAATAAAAAATAAACTAAACTTGGCCTATCAGAAAGAAATAAAAATAGCACTTTAATTAAACTACTGTAGCTGAAGCACTGAATCTGTAGCCACACAAGATGGTACTGCAGGTCTTTCTATAAAACACGTGCATACTGTCCTTTGAGTCCCCTAAAGAAATCACCTTCATAGTCACTGATATATTAGAGATATTACTCATATTGTTTTGCTATCATAAAACAGTTCTGCATATTTTATACTTGATGGTATATTTACTTATCTTTCCATTTGAAGGAATAGGTTAAAAGAATGTCACAAAAAAGAATAAATTTTTGATATATCTGGACATAATCCACACCAGCTAAATGACTGCTAACCTGCATTAATAAGTCATCTGTATATGGCACGAAAGGAGCCGTGATAACTGCACTGAGTGGGACACAGAGCAAGTCCTCATTGTCATTAGGTCAGAAGGATGTAAGTTAATGTTAAATAAAAATCAATCTAAAAATTACTGTCTTATCAATAATGATATTTACACCTCCATCTATAAAGCTAGATCTCAATTAACCTCAAACAAGGAAAACCCTCCAATAACTCCTCCTTCTGGTTCCAAGACACCTGGGATAACAGAAGGAGGCAGGGAAGCGAGTGCCTGTGACCGTCAGGCCATCTTAGCTGCCCCACACGCACACATTGTGGTCACAGAGGTCAAAGTGCACAGGAGAGATACATACAAAGCTAACAGGCAGCAGTCACTGTTCCTGAGTCGGGCACAGGACAGGCACGGACATGCACCCACTCCCCCTGCACCTCCAATGGGACAGCTACATGTTGAGTGACCTGCCCGAGGCAGTGAGTTTGAATCCCGAAGTCTGTTCCTGGCACTCTGAACGACATTATACCCAAGTCCTCAGCAATCACACAAGCACCAAATTGTGTTCAACAGACTGAATGCACATGCATCCAAGCATTTTACGTTTGTTAGGCGAATTTCCAAGAATTGGTGCATTGTTCTGCATCACTGCATTACTGAGACCACACAAATAACTGAACTAGTTTTTACTGGTCCTGGGAGCATAGTTTATGATGAACAATTCGAAGAAGAAAGATAGGAACTAGAGAGGAGGAAAGAGAGAGGATGGCAGACCTGGCCCCATTCCTGCCCGCCCTCAGGTTTTGTCTAATTCCCTCTGAGTTGCAGTTTCCAGGTGAAACCAGAATGAAGCAGTGATGTGAAGGTGGGTAAGGGCAGGGCAGGTGGTTTGCGCTGCCGCAGAGAGCAAGGCAGTCCTGCTGGGTTGAGGAGGCTGATGTTTGCCCTCCTCTTTCCCCATGTGTCTGAGCAGAGATGGC